TTTGATTGCTCCGTGAAAATCTATGAAACGCAAAAACGTGAATGAGCTAAAGTGTCGCGTTTGTTTGAGAGATGGAAGAATGTCTAGAAACGTGGTAATCTAAGCTTGCCTCAATCGGTGAAAACCTATCGAATTTCAAGTCTTAACAAGGAAACTCATACGTTCCTGTACGGACGTGTTCAACCGTTTGTTTTACGTCCTTTCTCACTTAGATACCTAGATGGTCCGTCTTCACTAGTTGTGCGGACGCCAGCACATATTCCAAATGATTTATTGTTGGTCGTGCGTATAACATTATTCGGTTTCCTGACGTAACCTTGTGAGAGATTTTTCAAGTCTTCATTTTATCGTTTCCAAGGAATGGTTTTCGGCGGAGGATCCACGGCTGGGCTTCTTACTAGTTGATTCGGCGATGGTGTTAGGCCGAAATCAAAAGCAGAGGTTGGAAAGAGAATCAACCGAAGGCTTACGGATGATGTATAAGTCGAAATCCCATTTCTCACTGACATCACACAATGCCTTTATGATTACCGGTGAATCTTCAAATCCAAATCGCTTCAACAATCGCTTATCCACCTCGATGTCTAAAGAAACGAAAGAACTCGGTGCAGAAGAAGTGAATAACAATAAAATCACACTGACCACTGAAAGGCTAAAATAAGAGCGCATGTGACGCAGCAGTTAGAGGTGCTCTGCTTCGTACACGAGGTCGATGGCTCGATCTCGCGCTCATAGCTCACTAAGCCACTCATCCCTCCGAGCTCAGCAAATTGATCTCAGACTTGTCTGAGAGGAAAAGCAGCACTTACATAATACAGCGGAAAGCCACCGCGTAGCATTGTAAAGGCCAGATATGCATTCAGTCACCTCATATGAAGTTAAAAAGTGAAGACGAAAGCATGGCGCATCCCTCAGGGATTGCTTCCGAACGGTTCTCTCTTGGTCATCCAATTAGTAAAGCAATATTATTAGTTGCAATGGAATGTACTATTCATAATCCATTACGAGTAGGTTCTTCACATTGGGAAGCCATGACCGAATGGTTGTGATGCTCGTCGCAGCGCGCGTGGAGCCGGGCTACACTCCCCAACTTTTTACGGCGCTCAATAACAACGCCTCATGAAACGCCACAACAAGGCTATCGTCGAGATTGCTAGCAGACTCGCTCAACCAGGATTCCACGACGTTTAAGAAGAGGTCGAAAAACGAATTGAATGCTAGAAGTACTGGGATCCGCAGAAAGAAGAAAACATTAAGAATCAACGTATCACTTACGAAATTAATTTGTGCAAAAATTGGCAGCTCATTATTCAAGAAGCTAAGTGATTTGCAAGACTTCCGAGACTAGTGAGGAGTTGAACCGGCGCCCACCCACACCGGAGGCGTGCACTACCACTACACCACCAACGCTGCTCTGTCACCACTTTCCCCTCGACAGCTGGACTGGGTTCACTGCCAGTACGTGGCGCTTACCAGACTAAATCCGTTCAAGGTTGGCTTGCTGCCAGCTTCGATGCATTACATCGAGGAAGTGCTCGAAGTATAGCGGTAAGCACCTGTAGTGTAGTGGTAGCACGCGTCGCCGGAAACGGTGAGGCGCGGATTCAACTCCCGCCTGAGTCGCAAAGCTTGCATATCACTTAGCTTCGTTGGATATATAACTGCAACATCACAGCAAACCCATATGGGTATTCAATAAAAAGGTCGTCTTCTAAAGCAATGAAATCAAAGCAAAAACATGGCACATTAGGTTTCAAAGATAAACTTCGAGTAGCATAACTTGGAGGGTTTACTCAGGGTTAACTCAACATCAAAAACATTAGCGAATTTCGAGCATCATAATCTGAAGGGTATATAAGGGGTTAACTCAACATAGGAAAATACAAGCCTGTAGCGAGGCTGGAGGATCCGGCTGATAGCGGTACGCTGGCGCACGGGTGGCTGGCAGTGTGGACGAGTGGCGTGACGCGGTACGACAGCGGTGGTCTGCCGCGCGCCTCGTTTTGAGCTGGAGCTGCGGTTGGCCGTGGGTCACCACACGCCACCTCGACGCTCGACCCTGTCTGTGCTGTAACGCGCCCACACACGCGCCCTCTGACACATCTTAGCCTGGCCTGGCCAGCTGAGCCCCTAGTCTCATTCCATCTATCCTTAGTGTTCTGTGGTCAGAGACCGGTTATCTGAGCGTCATTGGCGTGATTTTTGATCGATTGACTTATTTGATCTGCTGGTTATCTGTACCGATTTCCTTTGTATAACCGCGGCATTTACCAAATTGTGTCAAAACATCATTGGCGCCGCCTTCTCAGAGCCTCTTGAGAAGCACTTTATATTCTGTTTTTGGCCTTTTTTCTCTACAATAGTTCGTTTCTATCTACTCCGATCGCTTGAAAATCCTCAAAACTTACTATTTCTGGCGTTTTTTCGATGGCCTTGAACGTTTTTATTTGAGCCTAGAAGTGCCAGCTCGATAGACATGCAACCCACTCAGACAAATCCCTCTCATAAACTCTGCAGAAAACCTTTAACACATGAATTTTGGCCTCAGATTCCTCCTACTCTCAAAGGGATTGAGGCTCAGGGTTTGAGGGCCCGAAGGTTTGACACAGGGTTTGGTCCGCTTGAGGGTTTGTTTGGGGGGGGGGCTGCGTATCGATTTGACCTCTCCAATGGGGTCTGAAGAAGTTGAAATCGTTAGAATTAGGCCGAAAGCTATGGGGTTTTGAGGATCTGTAGATCGTTGGTCGATCACTTTTACAGCGATTCGAGTCATTGATGACATTTTTGCCCTGTTTCTTTGAATTTCATTGCTGTATCAATTCCATTCTAATCAGATTTGTAATAGATGAATGGCCTCTTCGTGCGTGATGATCTATCGTTGGTGGCCTTATTATGCGTCTTGTAGATTATATAGGTAAGTTTTAATCGATTCTGAGAGAATTTTCAGTCATTTTGTCATTTTTTCGAGGTCATGATTCAATTTCATCTGTCATTATCAATACCGTTTTGTCTTAGTTCGTGTCTAATTCTGCACTTACTCAAATTTAATCTTCTTTTCGCTTGAAATCTGACGTTATGAAAGCCAATTTGTCATTCTAAATCGCAACTTCAGCTCAAAATGGTCAGGTGGCTTGTGAATTAGTCGATTTTTTCCCACGATTGAGGCCATTCAGAGAGTATTGATTGATATTGATCGGTGCCCGACCAACTATGTAATGGACATTTTGGATGGAAAATGGCTTGGAATGGATTTCACTTTCTGAATGTCAATGTTTTCTGGTGATTTTGTTTGACGATTGATCTCGGCAGCTTCCGACGGTAACCGCCTACGCCATTTGGTGGCTCTGGTGTTACACTCTGAGATCCGTCCGTCGTAGAAGAAACGCTGGCAAGCAAATGTAGTGGTGACTAGTGGCTTCGTGGCAAACATCATTGTGGAAAGGCATTTTTCCAAAAGGCAAAACATACCTCTGTTGAGGAATGTCTTGAACTTTTATAAATCAAATGAACGGTGGCATATGTAAGAGATGGCAAGGACTTCTCAGACTTTTTAGTTTTTGTTGATTTTTTTTCGTGCAATTAATCTATTGTTCTGACCATCGCTTGGAGCAGCTTCTTGCGGTTATTTTGATATACAACACTTATTGACGTGATAGTGTTCAATACAGAGAAAGCGATATTATTATAATATTTACTGCACTTGATAAGCATTTGAGGGGTTCGCGACAACGTGCAGAGGAATCAGATGGATGATTGTAGGGTTCCACTATAATTAGATCAATATATAACTGTTTGAATAGATAGACGACAAAGTCTCTAAACGTTTACGTACAAAACACTTCGTTGATGATAATGTTTGCATCGATGTTAGACTTGTCTAGCGTTCCACCTTCAGTGGTGTTGGCAGTATCGTTTACAAGCCGATTCAACACTTATCGTACGACATTAATTAATTTTCGTAAAGCTGATTGAAAAAGCGCTATTTTGTGCATCAGGACAGAAATATCACAGATGCATTGTTTGATATTTATGATTGCAAAAACTTTGTTTGGAAGTTCAAAAATTCCAACTTTCTTCACATTTCCTCCATAAATCTAAGTTAAGTAGTTATGAGAAGCAAATAACAGTTTGAAGGATCACACCTAGTCTCAAGCAGTCACAATTAAGTCTCTTTCTTGAGCTAATTGCGTTTTCAATTCCTCAAGAGCTGCAGATATCGAAAGAATATTACTAATTTGTAAGAAACCACTTCAAAAGCCTTAATGTTGAGCACAGCATTGAAAAGGAGAACATGTGAAGCATTTCATGGAATGTTGCCTAGACAGGGAAACTGATAACATAAGATTTGTAACAAAAATGTTACTGCATCTTTGGTCAAATGTTTCGATAGGATAAACTCAGTGCGCAACTTCAATAGAATCACCTTGGATCTGGGTCGCAGTATTAGGAATCAATGATTAGAATCCCATGCCCACGAAATACGCGTTGAGATATGGAGGACTAAACCTTGACATGAACGACATGAATAGTACATTGGACATAGAATCAACGACATCCAGTTCAAACAGCAGAGTAAATAGTGGAATCGAGTACTGCTTGTTTCCTATATCTATGGTCTCCTTCCATGAGAAGACTAACCCTAAAAATCACAAATAGCGATTTTTTACGGAATAAAATTTTCATGATTTTTTAAAATTGCAAAACGTGTCATAACATATGCTGCTGTGTTCCCAACACTTTTCGCATCTGCTCATTTCCGTACAATCAGCCTTCATTGGAGCCTAAATAGTTTCGCATTGTTTCGGGTACTGCTTGAGATTTCCTCCTCTACATGAACGTTGTCGAACGTTCATAGAACGCTGGTCGAGTCGAATTTCCATTTTGATTTTGAGATAGCTGAGAAAGACGTATCTACAAAGATTGCGTTTTTTGCTGGATCAAGCGGTCGAACCAGCCCTTTGCTTTTGGTGGACTACATCACTAACGACTTTGCTACTTCCTCCTCCCTCTAAGTGACTAAAATGAAACCGACTGCATTTGCCATTCTTCTGCATCAGCAATGACAACTAGGCTTGGGTCATTAGGGCACGAGTGCAAGTAAGCATACCGAGCTAGGTTTTGAAATGCCATAACATAAGTCATAAACCACGAGTTAAAAACATTCTATTTCTTGACATCTTTAGAAAAATATCTCACCTTGTTGACAAATGCATGCCACTAGCAAAAACGAAGATATAAGACGGATCTGCGAGATTATAACAGATTTACATCGTTTGTAGACAACTGCATAGATAATCGGAGCAATGCAACTAAAACGTGAGCAGTCGAAGTGATTGTTCAGTAAGAGCAAATGCAGTTCTTTTTCTGTTGATGCGTAAACAGCAGTAATTTGATTGTCTGAGAGGATTGTGACCAATGCAAACTTCGCAAACTTTGATCGCTGCCACCGCGATTTATAGACATTCTGTAGTCATAGGAAAAAAGATCGATGAAACTGTCGTGTGTTATGAATTCCGTCGAGTAACCGTCTCAACTGACAAATCCTTAAATATTTGTGCGAGCATTTCTTGACTGAAAGTCGTTCTCACACGTTTTAAGACTATCGTGACCACTGCCATAGTCCGACTCATAGTTAAGATAGAAAAACCAGTACTATTCAGTATCAAACAGGAGTATTTGAATGAGAATAGTTCATTGAACAGAGACACCAGGCTTGTTCTTGAAAAGACCGTTTTCCGTACTGTAACTGGAAAAATGAGATTGAGTTTCAAACTACGCCGCCCATTTCTTGTCGGCGAGAGTGTGTCTTGTGTGCGTGCTAGACGTGGCTCGATACGACGTTGCGCGATTGATCCGACGCATTGGCGCGAATCACATTGCGGAGTGCATGTTTTGTTATTTCATTTGGGAAATTTTCTTTGTTTTTGAAAAAGTTTTAGGCCAAACTTACGACTCTGATACTACAAGATTACCTCTACACGTTCATATGTTTTTGTGCCTTCGGCGAAGTAATAGTAAAAGCGCTCGGTCGGTGCAAAACATGATCTTATCTGAAAGTTGCAGCATTATGAAAAGGCCGAAAAGGGATCATAAACGATGACGCTTTCAAATGGTCAATAGTAGTCCTAAAAAAGACTGTTCAGCGAAAAATAAACGTAAGAAATCTCGTTCTGCAGCAACATTTATAAAAGCTATTCGAAAGCCGGCGACGTGGGGCTGTTGCCTGATGTCTCAGCTTTCGAATTGTTACCAACACTCCTACGAAAAGCTAATCTCCAGCGAATGAGTCGATTTTTTGTTGATCTCCTTATAAGTGAATAGAACTACGGAAGGCTTCGTGAGCCCTGAGCCCGGGATCGAACAATCATCACGTATGTCGCATAACATTCCTGTACATTGGGCCAAAGTGCTCCTGACTGTGTCAGAACATTGCTCTAAAGGCGTAAAACAAAAAAAAATTCGCGTAGATTTCACGTTCTCAATGTCAGTTCATGAGAATCAAGTATGGTTGATGATATGTTCGCATTTGATTCACAAAACACCTACCAGCATGTCGCGCCGGTTTCAAAACCTTTGGCTAAGTTTCACCGGTAATAGTCAAGTTGACTCAGTCTTGTACTTTGGT